CGTGCTCCCTGGAGGGAGAGCGCCTGTAAAGGTTGTTTGTTTGTTTATTTGTTTGTTGTTGTTTTGGGGGAATTTTTACATTTCTATATCCCACTGCCAACTCTTATATGACCTCATTTATTTACATCAACTGAAAATTGTAGTAACTATTTACTCTTTTTTTATGTTTTTATTGATTTGAGAGAGAGAGGAAAGGAGAAGCAGAGAGAGAAACATTGATGAGAGAGAAACATCAACATCGATTGGCTGCCTCCCGCATGCCCCCCGCATGCTCTCCAACTGGGAATCAAACCTGTGAACTCCTGGTGCATAAATCGATGCTCAACTATTGAGTCAACACCAGTCGGGCGCTGTTTATTCTTTCATTATTCTCTGGAGTTGGTAGCCTCTTAAAATTCAATTGGAGAGAATGTACTTATAACTGAATTCACGGGAGAACTTTATATTTAGACACTGTAGGAGTAAACCCCCAAAACTTTAGCTCCCAAAATTAGAGGAACCAAATGTAGGAAACTAAATTCTACTTAAGAAATGATAATAGTGAGTCTTATTTTTATAATAATAATTGCTGCCATTCATTATGCACTGGTTACATTCCAGACTCCATCTGCTATATATCAATATAAATGAAATGAAATTTTTGTCCAGGTGGTTGTGTCACACCAAAAAGGCTTGATGGATTTTTCCAAATTTAGAGAGACCTGGTTACAAATATTGACTAATTAGCTTCCACTCAGTTTACTCTGAATCTGAAATCACAGATTTGGGCCTCACCCTCCAGAGGAGCAGAGAGTAAGGTACAACCAGAAGCTCAGGTGCCTGCTAATGGGGAGGCAGGCCATTCAGACAAGCATGTGCCGAAAACACAGTGGTTATGACAAGGAGCCCAGGATGAAAATCAGGGGCCCAGGTGATCCAAAGGAATTATTTCATTCATTTAAGTTGAGTTGTTCCTCACATGGCCAATTCTATGTGATATGTGCAGAAGGGAGAGGGAGCAGGAAGTTTTTAACAATCTATATATATAAAAGGCTAAGTGACCATCCGACGGTCCGACTGTCCAACTGGCCGGTGCATATGACGTGCACTGACCACCAGGGGTCAGACGCTCAACGCAGGAGCTGCCAAGCTGCAGTGACTTCACAGCGACGGTTCTTGGGTGATGCACCCCTGAACCAGAGAGGAGGGAGCGTGGCCCCACTTCCTTTCAATGTGCACGAATCCATGCACCGGGGCCACTAGTAGGTAATAAATTGAGTAATATTGGAAAAAGTAGACAACATTTTGTGTGTTGCAGTTTGTCTCTACATATTTGTGCATGAGTGTGTAGCTATGCATACGTGAATATGGATGTGTGTCTATACATGTATATGTCTGTACATGTGTATATAGTGTGTCTTCATTTATATGTCTGTACATATGTGTCCATACATGTGTGTGCACATGTATATTTGCACATGTATGTGTATCTATACATATGACTATATATGTATACCTATGCATATGTATCTATTCATGCATGGGTGTTTGTTTCTATACACATGTCTGTATTTGTACATTTGTGTATCTTATCTGTTAAAAACTTGGGCAATGAAATTGGAGAAAACTGTGAATAGCTGCTGCTTATGCAGAAAACCTGGGAGGGGACCAAGGGGCTCCCAACACAACACTGGAAATGACTGTTCCAGAGGACGGGCAGACCTGGCACAGCCCCCCTCGCCACCCTGAGAAAATCCCCCATTCTGTTCCTGTCACACGTGGTCCTGGCTGACCTGAGCCCCTTGCAGCAGGCCCAGCCAGTGCCGGGCCTGGGCTGGATGGGTGGCCAGGATGCTCAAAATGGAACCTTCTTTATAATAAAAGCCTGATGGGGGGAAAAAAGAAAGGAAAAAAAAAGACTCTTTCATCATAATTGTGTGACTTTGAGGAAATTTCTTAACCTCTTTTTCTTTCAATCACTTAATCTTATTGGAAATAATAATTCATGCCTCAGAGATTGTAGAGAGGTGCATATGAAAAGTGGCGGCGATGCTCTGCCTTCTAAGCAACTAAAGGCATTAGTCATGATGAACATCACCTTTATTGTCATCACTAATCCCGCATCCTGAGGAAACTGAAGCTGTGAGAGTGGGGCATTCCCCTCCAGTGGTGCAGTGGGTCCAGGATTCTAGCCTAGGCCAGTCAGTGTGTTGCCCAGAGGTATCTATGAGGCTGGTAATATCTCGTGCCTTTCTACACTACCTGGAAAAAGCCAGCTGATCAGTTCTGGTTATGACCCATACACAAGCTCAAGTCACCATCGTGAGTGAATGGGAGTCACTTGCCTTTTTTGTTCGTCTCTAGCTGAGAACAGAAGAGTGGCCCACCCTGGTGGCAGTATGAGCTTCAGAGCCTGAAGGACCTGATTTGGGCACAGATTTTGTTTATTTGTTGTTGTTTTTCTTGCCTTTTTGTGTGTTTTTAGGACCTCACATACACAAAACTGGGCTACTTAATCTGTGGTTAAGGATAACTCTCATCAATGTTATCTTTTTCTTTATTTATTTGGTTATTAGTTAGACATCTACACTAATAAAAGAGAAACATGGTAATTGGCGTACGACCGCTACCCTTTTCATTGGCTAATCAGTGAGTATATGCAAATTAACTGTCAGCCAAGATGGCAGCCGGCAGCCAGGCACTGAAGCGAGCAGGGAGGCTTGCTTGCTGCAGACTCCAACGTTCACCGCCTCACTTGCCGGCCTCTCAGTTGCAACTCTAAGCAACTATATACTATGTTGCAAATAAGAAGCTAAACAAAACCCCAGAAAAGGGCTTCCATTCAGCCGGGCTCGGACCGCAACATTGTATCTATGTTTTCAGCAGCGAGGCCTCAGAGCTAAAGCTGGCCCAGAAAAAAAAAAAAAAAAAGAGAAGACAGTATGCATATATGAGACCAGCTCTCAAACAAAAGCTAGCATATTGACAGTAAAGTTAATCTAACCATTGGGCTATTCCATCATTTCATCCAGTCTCCACCAATACTGACCTCCATCCTGAGTCCCCTGTTTGCTATTCCTTTACATTTCTTTATATGCAAACTTATAGCACTCATAAGTATTCTGAAAAGGAAACTTCATTAAAATTGTTTTTAACTTTCTAAAAAGGACAAAATGTCACATATAATTATTTGAGACTAATTCTTCATTGGGAAGGTTCATCTATATTGTGATATGCTGTATTACATTTATTTTTTTCCTATTGTTTAATATTCTAATGCAGCCGTGGGCAAACTACGGCCCACGGGCCGGATCTGGCCCGTTTGAAATGAATAAAACTAAAAAAAAAAAGACCGTACCCTTTTATGTAATGATGTTTACTTTGAATTTATATTAGTTCACACAAACACTCCATCCATGCTTTTGTTCCGGCCCTCCGGTCCAGTTTAAGAACCCACTGTGGCCCTCGAGTCAAAAAGTTTGCCCACCCCTGTTCTAATGTGTAAAACATACTGTAGTTTATTTATACACTCCCTTGTTCATGGCCATTTGCATGTTTTCAGGGTTTTCCTGTTATGGGGAGAGTTGTTTTGGCATTGTTAAACATAATTCTTCATGCACATGTGCAAGAATTTCCCCTGGGCAGGAATGGAATTGCTGGATTGTAGGATGTGTAATGTTCAACTTTAGGAGACAGTACCAAATTGTTTTCCACAGTTGATTGCCCCCATTTTCACTCTTATTGAATTGTGTATCCACAGTCTTTCAACAGTTGGAATTGTTAGACTTTTCCATTTTTTGCACATTGAATGTGCATAAAATGATTATCTCATTGGGGTTTAATTAATTTGCATTCCTCTGACTATGATGCTGAACACCTCTTCTCATTCTGATTGGCATTATGTTTGTTCTGCCATGAAGTGTATATTCATGTCTTTTGGTAACTTTTCTGTTATTTGTGATTTCCTTATTGGTTTCCAGGAGATGTTGGGCAATGGATATTTGGCAATGTACTTGATCATTTGGGGATCATTTCTGCATCTGTAAACATGGGGATGATAATACAATGTTCATAGGGTTGATTTTAGGAGGAAGAAAAAATGGCGACCAGCAGGAAGGTAGGGAGGGAGAGAGTGTGAGAGTGCAAGGAAGTGATAGAGGAGTGTGTGGACGTGTGTGGTGTGTGTGTATGAGCTAGGGACAGCTAGATTCTGCAGGTCTTCTAAGGGGCTGCTAAACCGGGCAGTCTTAGGCGGCGGAGTCCAGCTCCCGGCATTAAATGAATGTTTACATAGGATACTGTAAATATTGGCAAATTGCATAATAGACCATCAGAAATGTTAGTTCTAGCTCCCTACTAACAGAGTTAACCCCACTCCCTCCGGAGCTTCCTTTCAGTGGACTGGCTTTGGTAGAATTTACCCCGTTCACTTAGTGAAGACTCTCTGCTTATTGGTGTAGCCAGTGTGGTCTTGTAGCAAGTCAAATGAACTCAGGCTCCCTTGGAGGAAATATAGAAAAAGAAAGGGGAAGGCAAGAGCTTCAGTGGAGTCCTTGGCAAAATGAAGGGAGGGGGATCAATATAATTATTACATTGATCTCAATGGCCCTTTCTGAAGATATTTGAAGTGTGTATTAATATGGCAATTGGGCCCGACCAATGTGGCTCCATGGTTGAGCATCGACTTGGGAGCCAGGAGGTCACGGTTTGATTCCCAATCAGGGCACCTGCCTGGGTTGTGGCTCAATCCCCAATAGGGGGCATGCAGAAGGCAGCCGATCAATGATTCTCTTTCATCATTGATGTTTCTATCTCTCTCTTCCTCTTCTTTCCTCTATGAAATCAATAAAAACATATTTTTTAAAATATGGCCATTGGAAAAACTAAGGATTTAAAAAAAATCCATATACATGATTAAACTGAAGATTCCATACAATTTCCAATACCTGTGACACTTTCGGCTTTCTGTTTGCCTGCTGCTGGAAGCTACTTCCACAGCACTTTTGCGAGTTTTGCACAGTCATGCAGAAGAGCTACCCTGGGAACCAGGAAAAATATTAGGAGGAGAAGCTGAAGGACACTGTGAAATGCTGTGCAGCTATTACTTCCTGTTCCTGGTTTGTCTTTGAGTGTTGAATTCAAGAAGAATATCTGGATGCAATAGTGACAACCATTGCTTTTGTCACCCTGGATCTTTCTGTGTTGCACTGAGCATATTCCTGGAGGAAGGGAAGCTGGAATGGCCGTGCTCCCTGCTCTGTGAGCCTGCTGCACTGCAGCATGCCATCCTTCATCTGTCTCTATCTGTGCTCAAAGTCCCTCTTAGGATTTGGAGGTAAATTTTTTCTATTCCTAACATGAATGTATACTTAGGAAAGGGGCCATTTTTAGTGATTATGACTCTGATTTTGATAAATATTCAAGCAAGGCCACATGTAAATTCAGCCAGGGAAATGTGCAAATGATTCTTTCGTGCATGATGTCTCTTAAAATGTTTGTTCATTCATGCTATGCTAATTGTTCTCTAGTTTTTCTCTGGTTTAAAAGCTCGGCGTTTCAGTTTTTATGGGGGAAATCTGGAATTGATAACAGATGGAGTTTAGCTTCAATGTCACCTCACCTTTCCCTGTGTCCTTCTCAGTACACACCAGTCAGATCAATTTGTCAGAAATCCTTTGCTCTAAGGACACATGCGTAGACTTTGGAAGCAGCTTTTAGTGGTGATGGCAATTTCAATTTAAGGAGTAGTTAAGAGAAATGTGTGAATGCTCTCCAAAGACAAAAATGTCACGTACTTATGCTTAGGCTTTGTAATTCACAAATTGTAATTTGTTTTCCATTGTGCTAAGAATTACACAGAAGAATAGTGAAATATAATTTCAATTTACTTTGTAAGTAATTGTAAAAACAACTTCATTAAAACCTGGGTAATACCTAGACCTCAAAGGGATGGACTTACCCATAAACCAAGCCTAGGAACCTATTTTAGGCAGGAGAATCTTCTGGATGGCTCCCTCAGTGGCTTTTGTAGGCCTTTACCGATCATTGGGAAAATGAATTTCAAATGACTAATTAGCAAGGTCTGTATACAGACGCTGTAACTCAGAGGATTTTCTGTGGGCTCCTGTTGAACCTTTTGATCCTGTTATGTTTTTGACAAAGGGGCTTCTTCATGGTTCAGAGAGGGCAGTTTCCTGTGTCGCCTGCCTCATCCTGAGAGTTACGGGGCTCTGGCTGAACAGAAATGCAACCCCTTGCTGCCCACTACTGGGTTGCTCATTTCTCTTAATTTTTTTCTGTTATGCCAGTGACTTTCAAAAACAATACTATTATAGGGAGATTCTCATGTGATATTTTGAGTATTATTCCTATTCCTATCTTTGTAGTATATTTCCCTTTAAATATCTAATTCTGAAATATTTCTCACAATTTTTTTTTCAGTGAATCCAGAAATTTTTGCAGAACTACACAAAAATGACTTTTCATAATGGCAGTTACAGAGAAAATAGGCCTCCCTTAGCAGAGTTGTTTTGCTTTACAATGAACTCCGATAGAATATACCTATTAGTTGGAAATCAGTGAGAAATTATATGTACAGAAAACCGAAACCTTGAACCTGGATATTATTTGTACCTGTAGTTTTATTCACATTTTATACGTAAGGATATAAAGACCTGGAGAGGCTGTGCATTGCTCAGAAATGAATGGGAAATAGCAGAAGAGAGGGAACAAAGAACAGGAACCAGGTCCCTCCACCCAGGCCAAGAACTTCTCCTTCAAATTGCCATCCCTGCTGCACCCGTGGCGGTCTAACAAGTAGTGGGCACACATTTGACTCCAGTAGAACTACCTGGAGAAGTCATAGTAAGGG